AGGCTTCCCGCCGAGCAGGGAGCCCGATGCGGGGCTCCATCCCAGGACCCTGGGATCATGATCTGAACTGAAGGCAGGCGCTTAACGACTGAGCCACCCAGGCATCCCTGAAGGTCATTCTTTAAGTCAGAATTTTGTACATAATGGCCTGGTGTTCTGAAAAGGAGATAAGCATTATTTCCTCCATTTTAGGATAAGAAAAACAAGGGCTATCCTTTAACAAAAGAATTCATCTTCTCCAGTTCCTGAGGGCTTGGGTTTGGTTTGAAGAGAAGCAGTAGACCAGATTTCTGGGTCTTCATTACTCAAAGGGCAGTGTCAAATTGGAATATCAATTTTTTTTTCTTTTTGTTTCTTCTTCTCTCCATGCCTATTGGCACAAAGGCAAATACTCAAAACAGTGAGATTAAATTGGGGTATATCTCTATAGCAGTCATAAAAAATGACAGAATCAAAGAAATCTAGAATTGGAAATAATAGAGTATTTAGCCAAGGGATGGCATATGTGATGGATGATGTTGCTTCCACCCTTCATCAGTGGCAGACATCACCAATCAATTATTGAACCTAAATGTGGCCCAACAGATATTTTCTACACAATGCCCCCAGCAGCCATTACCAAGTAAGTGGAGCTGTCAATGAGGCCCTACCTGAGGTATTCTAATCATTTAACATTATGAGAACACTGAGGCCAATAAAGGTAAGGGGACTGGCTCATGGTCACTCAGTGGCTGACAGAGAACCCCTATTCTTTTTTTTTAAGATTTTATTTATTTATCTGAGAGAGTGAGAGAGAAAGAGAGAGAGAGAGCGCGTGCGTGCAGGAGCAGGGGGAGGGGCAGAGGGAGAGGGAGAAGCAGACTCCCCACTGAGCAGGGAGCCTGATGCAGGGCTCAATCCCAGGACCCTGAGATCATGATCTGAGCTGAAGGCAGATACTTAACCGACTGAGCCACCCAGGCGCCCCTAACTGTGGAATTCTTGAAACTATCCCACCAGGTAGCAGGGAAAGAAGGATGGTGTCCCTCTACAAGCAGCATTCCACAACAGGGGACACCCACCTTCCTCTCTACTTGTTCAAGTTCTCACAACCAGTGTTAAGAAGTTTTTAAAGATTTTTATTTTTATTTTTATTATTTATTTGACAGCGAGAGAGGGAACACAAGCAGGGGGAGTGGGAGAGGGAGAAGCAGGCTTCCCGCTGAGCAGGGAGCCCGATGTGGGGCTCGATCCCAGGACCCTGGGACCATGACCTGAGCCAAGGGCAGACGCTTAATGACTGAGCCACCCAGGCGCCCCAAGAAGTTCTTCAGAAACTAACCAACTAACTAACTAACCAACTAAGGTAGCCCTCCTCCGGTCACTTTTTATCCCAACGCCCTGTTATATTTTCTTTTCAACATCCTCTGATTTTATCTAATGTATCAAATGTTCAATTTTGTTTTAAACGTATTTTAATCTAATGGATAGAATTCCTCTAGGTAATAACCTCTTTTGGGAAGAAACTCCAAGTCTTTTACAGCTGATCTCTACCTCTGCACATGTCCCTAAGATGGCATCTGCATGTATGAGCTGTTAATGTGTGGAAGAAGCTTGAGACCTTGGATCCATTTGGTGTCCTTGTACTATTTTTGACTTCTCTGGATGCACAGCAACCTATTGGTCAGTGAGTGGTGTATCTTGTAGCCAGGCCTCTCTAAGCTTATTAAGAGCCTGGAGGCAAACCCTATCTCTTCCTGAGGTCTGGGTGTTACTACTTTTTGTTCTAGGTTGGATGAGATCTACAGAGCTACTTCCCCCTATACTTGCCAGGTAATCTCATGGCTACCTTCCCTATGCCTTCCCAGGGCGTGTGAGAACGTCTGCATACATTCTAAATCACAGTGGGGTTATGGGCCACTCATGTGCAGAACTTCTTCCAAGTCCCTGTATCGAATTTTGTATATGGAAGTTTGTGTTCTACTTCTTTAAAAAATTTCCTCCCTGCCCCCATCACATAAGCTTCAAGACCCACGAAAATTGGATTCACCCCTAACTGACAGACACTCTGAGGGGCTCAATGCAGGCCTTCTCTCTTTTCCCAATTGCACAAGGCCATTACTTTTATTTGTATGTTGCTGTTTGCCTATTGGTGTGGATACAGTCTGCAAATCATCTCTACCTGGAATTCCAAACAGAAGCAAAACAAAAGTGCTTTCTATTTGAAGAGCTAGAGTAGGAAGACAGAGGCATTTGTCTCTCAATCACTGCCTCTCTTTTCCTTCTTCTTCCCTCCACTCTTTAAGAGTCAGGCTTTTCTTTTACTTCCCTATGTCACAGCTTCATGGCTTATCTTAGAAGAAAGGAGCATCTCTTCCGGAGTTTGGGAGAAATGAGATTCTTACTATGTGCTGAATTTTGTAAGTTAAATAGAATTAAGGAAATTTAGCAAATTCTTTTTCTCTCCACTAAGACTATTCTACTCTCTCCTGATTAGGGAAGTAAGTCTCAGAGCTCTACTTCAGGCAAGAGTCTATGAAGGAACATGATTTAAAGAAGAAAATTAAAATGAATCAGCTTGATATTTGCAAAGTATTATACCATTATACTCTCCTTTTTTTAAAAAAGAAGTCAGAAAATTGGATTTGTACATGACATAATCCCATTTGAAATGTTGGCATATAATTTAAAAAATAAAAAATTTAGAATATATAAAATCATATATTCTTATAATGTTAGGAATCAAAAGGGTTCTAAGAGATTTAGAAATATTAACTAATTCTCCCAACAACCCGTTTTACAGATGAGGAAACTGGGGCATTGAGCAAGTAACTTGACCAAGATCACATAGCTATACATGGTGCAAACCAAATACATGTCTGTGGGGAAGATTTGTCTGCAAGGCACCCAATCTGGAACCTCTAGTTTATGATATATTTGAATAAGCTAGAAAGAAAAGCCTTTGAATTCTGGCTTGGTTTCTCTGCTGAATGACCTTGTACTAGTCACTTAACCTGTAGAAATCCCTCTGTAAAATTAGGATAATGTGATTAACCTTGCAGTGCTCACTAAGTGTTGGTTTTCTTTTTTTTTCTTCTTCTTATATGGATGATTGCACTGAACATTCATGATATGCTTGTATATTACCTGAAATGCACAAATCTTGCCTATTGTTCAAGACCCAACATATTCCTAATACTTCTAGAAATAGTCTGCTACAGAAGACAGTGCTAGGCTTGGGGTCAAGATGCTTGTTCCAGTCCTGGTGCTGTTATTAATCCTTTTTGTGAATGCACACAAGTTTCTGAGCCTCAGTGGCTCTATCTTTACAATGTGGAGTTGGATTAAATCAATGGCTTTCAACTGTTTTTGCAATATGCTACATTTCTCTAATGGTGGGAAGGGGCATGGAAGAGAGAGGACAAGGGGAAGGATGGGTGAGCAGTTTATGGGTTCCCATCTCCACTACAAATTTAGCAACTCCATTTTAAGCTGTCAGATTTTATTAGATGGGAATATTCCACTGCCAGTAAAACAGGTGGAAACCACTAGACCTTTCATGTACCCACATTCTCTAAAACTCTTTTCTTGGTTTCTCTGTTTATTTCCTTTTTGTCCTAAACATGGAACTAAAGGGTCTGACATGTTTCAAAAATTCCAGCTGAAATACACATTCTTTTGTCCTTTTCTCTTTTCTACCAAAAAGTGAAATTAAAGATGAAGAGGCCTAAACAAGGACCAGCATGGATACTTCCAGCAATTTCACAGATAGTTTCCAGCAAAATGTGATGGATTGGGAAACTTTTCAGTTTCAAAAAGCTACCAAGTGACACACACAAGTCATAAATTATCTCTCATTATCCTGTGATTTTAGGAGTTGCTCATTTGCATTTGAATGTTTCTTGCTGTGGGGGAATGACCTTCAAGAGGCAGCTTCTTTGTATTTCTTATTTGATTGTCTTTAAGCTATTATTATGAACTCTGTTAGAGCAATTTTTCTCCACCTGAGGCTAAGGAACTGGAAGGTATGAAGAGGAATAAATCAAGCCCCCATTCTCTTCAGTCTTCTTCAGCTTCCATTTTAAGGCAAGATAGACCCAAATTTACTTCCCCGTTTTCTGCTTGGAAATAACATGGTCATCCTTTAAGTCAGAGTCTCAAAGCTTCTTGAATGGAGGTGAATAAGGACACACAATATCTGCAAATCATCACACGTCTTCAGAGACGAATTGAATATTCTTGCAGTATCATGGACCTTCCATTTCTGATCCCCTAGATGAAAACTGATTTATCTTTTGCTTTGAAGACAGGTTGGTACATTGAAAAGCCTGGAAGGCTGTTGCTCAAATCTTGATTCTAAATTCACACCAGCATTTAGGCGCCTTGAGGCAAATTACTTTTCTGGACCAGGCAGCAATTTTACCATTGGGAGTATTGGAGTAGATGCTTCCTGAGATTCTTCTCGATTTAGATATTCTAAGGACAAATTACTATCGAGGAAGTAACCTCCAGTTGTTGGTTTGGTCTTCAAAAACACTACAGGATCTGATTTTGAGGTTAGGCTGTCAGAGTTGACCCTTAATATTCCATGCCCTTTCTTCAGATCAGGCTATCTAAAGGAAGTAAAGCTGGGTCTCCTTGAGATGACTGGCTTGTTCCCTCATTGGTTGGGATTCTTCATGTTCAGAGGTCCACTGAGAACTTCAGGTCACCATCATTTTCCCTTTACAATGGTATCTCCATAGTCAGGTGTAAGATGATGATCTGGACCCCTCACTGACATTTCACCCAATTCTCCAGATAGTCATTTCATTAATTTCTTTCATTCCTCCTTCATCACTGCGTCATGGCCCCTTTAAGGCAGCGGCCATAGTTGAGTGGTGGGAGCAGCTGCTGGCAGCAAAGAGACTTGCAGGATTTGGCCTACCCTTGGCCACTCACCGCGCACGCTCAGGACCGGGGGCTTGGTGGGAAAGGAAGGAGGGGCTTAAGGTGCGCCTGCGCATCTGGGGCGCGCGCAAGGGGCTGGTTTGGTGATCCCTTTAAGAAACCGCAGGCGGAGGAATTTCTCTGAGAGAAAATAATCCTACTCACGGGGCCCCTTGGAGGCCATTAACCCCCCGAGTACCGGCCCCCCCTTTCCCGGGCAGGCCCTACCGCCCACGCGCGCACCCGTGGGATCTCTGGATCTCCGACCCAGCGCGCGGCATCCGCCCCCTCCCCACTCTCAGCGCCAGGCCCGGACGGGTTCGGAGAAGCTGCCGCGAGGCGGCCGTGCCTGCAGTGTGGGCGGGGGCCGGGGGCCCGAGAGGTTCCGCCGCCACCGCGCCGGGAGCCGCAGCGGTTCCGAGCGGGGCCCAACATGGCGGAGAGAGAGGTGGAGTCCGGCCCCCGAAAGAGGGTAGGTGAGGTGAGGCAGAACTCGGGCGGCGGGGGGCGGGGCGGGAGTCGCGTCCCGGGGCCGGGAATGGGCCAAGCGCAGGCTCGTGGAGGGGTCGTCGAGGCCCGGTTGGGGGGCGGTTGCGGGCGGGACTGAGGCAACCTCGGGTCAGGAGCGCGCTGGAGAGTGGTCCTTCGGCAGGTGGGACAAAGATTTGCTGCTGGTTAGGAGGGGGAGGGGCGGGGGTTGTTGTTTGCTTTTTTTTTTCCCCCCAGCACTGGGGGTGGGTTATGTGGGCCAGGGGAGGGAAGGTGTCACATTCTTAAGTGCATCTTTAGTAAATCAGAGTCTCGAAGTTTAACTGGGGAGAGGTCAGGGTGGGGGTGGTAGTGGTAGTGGCGGGAATAAGTCGTGGACGGGTCTCAAGAGGAGGGTTCTTCAGTAACACCATCGCGAATTCATTTTCCTACCTCCTTTCCCCTCCCCCCATAACCGTTATCAAGACCAAGGTGGAGGTGGTGCTCTTACCTGTGAAGAAGTGGGGTCGTTGGCATGTCCTGATTTAGAGAGATTTTGGCAACTCTAAATGTCATGTTCTAGTCTAGCCTCTTTACCAACAATTAAGAACGTGGGAGAGTATGACAAGTTTTGTTATAGCAAGGATGTACCCAACCAGCCTGCAGAGGTGAAGCCAATTGGGAGTTGTTGAGTGCCTTTTAAAGTTTGTCTTGAAACTTTTCTTATTTAATTCCGAATGATTTTTTTTCAGACGGAGAACAATACTGTTACTAACGATTGAGCAATATTTTTCAGATTTTTAGACTCCCCCCGCCCCTCCCACCTTAGCATGTTGAGCAGTAAGTTTCCTATCAGGAATCTTCCTTTTGGGAATGGTCACAAAATAATCAAATTAGTGTTAAGCCAACCACATAAAAAATTACTACTTAATTTTTACTCACAGTGCCTTTTTGATTTAGCATAGAATTAGCAATCTCATAATGAATTACAGCTAACATTTTGAGTGCTTACTATGTGCCTGGCACTGATTTATAGGAGGAATTTAACTTTGCATTAGGTATGTAAAACCCATTTTGCAGATGAAGAAATGTAGGCATAGAGAGGTTAAGTAATTATACTTAAGATCAGATAGCTCTTTAAGAGGTCGAGCTGTGATTTGAATTCAGGTTTGTCCCAACTACAATGCTTGTAGCATTGTAGCCAGTCTATGTTTCTCTCCTTAAAAGCTTAAATTATAGGGGCGCCTGGGTGGCTCAGTTGGTTCAGCGTAGGACTCTTGATCTCAGCTCAGGTCTTGATCCCAGGGTCTTGAGTTCAAGCCCCGCCTTGGGCTCCATACCTAGCATGCCTACCTAAAACCAAACAAAACTTAAGTTATAAATAACCAAAAAAATGTCAAATAGTTTTTTCCAACAATTTATTAGGAAATATTTTCAGCTACACAGCAAAATTGAAAAAATTTACAGGGAGCGGTCATATACTCACTACCTAGATTCTACTATTAACATTTTATTGGTTTTATCACTTACTTACTCATGTATCTGGCCCTTTATCCATTTATCAGTTATTTTAATGCATTTCATTTTAGTATTTGGAGCAATTAAAATTTAATGTTGATAGTCTTAGGTTTATAGACATATAGATCTTCCTTGTGCAATAATTAGTCATAGCTAGAACAAGTTAAGCTGTATGATAGTATATTAAATATAGTTCATTTAGTATAAATATTGGGTATGGAATGCACATGTTTTGAAATTTTAAATTTCTCTTCAAGCTGTGAGTCAGTTTAAACTCGATCCTCATATTTGAGTAAAGGTACATGGCATGTGGTCCACCAATTAAAATATATAGGGTAAATTACTTTAGATGTGTAATGTTCATTCAAGGAGATCTCTGAATCCAGTTGCTCCTAATGCTATTATCATTCATCTTATAAAATGGAATGTTCTAGAAAACATCTAAGCATGTTGGTAACAAATTCAACTAGCTTTTAAATACTTTTTTCTCTTCTAATACACTTTAAAGATGCCACACTGATAGTAATCTAAACTATTATTTTTTAATGTCATGTAATATATATATAGCACTTCTACAGGTTTTACCTATTATTTTACCAGTTTCATTGTGGAGGAAGGTTACATTCATTATCTTTTAGGCTCCATAATCCATTTTTTAAAGTTACTTATTTTATTTCATTTATTTTTTTTAAAGTAATGTCTATACCCCATGTGGGGCTTGAACTCACAACCCTTGGTCAAGAGTCGCCTGCTCTACCAGACAGGTGTGCCTCCATTTTGTTTTTGATATTTGGTTAGAATGTTCAGTAGGGTTATCCTGAACTGTACACATGGTACACTTGCTTTTTTTCCCCCCTCATTTTTTTGATGTGTGCTAAACTCATGTGGATTCCGTATGTATACTCTAAACAGATTAGTGGGGACTGTGTACAAAAGTACAATATCTTTTTAATAATTTGACTGCTTTGAGGCAGCTAAAAAAATTGCATAGGCCTGGGTAATAAGTTTAGGTTATTTAATCTGAAATTGCATTGATGATGACATGGTATTGTATTTATGATGCTTAACTGCTTTGACCTTTATAAAAGTCACAAGAAGTTTCTGAGCACCTATGCTAGTTGTTTGACTGTATGCTAGGTATTATGCTGTGGTATTTATGATCATGTAGGATAATACATTCTGGCTCTCCTGCTAAATTGTGAGTTCTTTTAGGGTAGGGTCCATTTTATTGCATTTTGCATCTCCAGCACCTTTGACTTCCATGTAATAGGAACTCAAAAAGACTTACGTTGATTTTTGGTAAGAAAGTTCACCTGTTACAGTAGAGGCTGTAGGGCTTGGGTACTGAGGTATTTGCTTTATAATTTTCGGAGCTTCAGTAAAAATCTTCCGTAGCATCCTTTATGCTCCAAAATTGTCTCCTATGGATTCAGATTTAGGGATCTTCTGATTGTTCTGGATTATGGTTAGATGGGAGAATGTATTTTAAGACCCTTGGTGGGTTAACAACCTTACATTCTGTGTAGGCCTGCCGGCTGTCTTACTTTTATGCTTGTGGGCATTTAGAACAATAGGTATTCATTAGATAAGTTTGATTTGATTGTATTCTGACTATATTGGAATGCCAGTCTTTCAGTTTCTGAACTTGGGGAAGCTAAGTATGTGGGTGGGTCAGCACCATATCCATCAATCATCTGTGCTAAGAACCAAGTTCATATGAAGTTCATATACACGTAGTCTTTCTTACTTTAAAGTTAGGGATATTTTTGAGATATTATTTGTGAACTTTTTTAAGATTGTAAAACTTTTATTTTCTAATACAGGTTTTAAAATTCATTAGTTAGGCTTGTTGTAAATAGTGGATTTATTTGTTCATGGCTATTATAATAAACTTACGAAGCATGAGATCTGTGGAATTATTTTATGCATGGCTATTAAACTTATGAAGCACAAGATCTAACTAAATCTAGTGGCCATATTTTTTTGTGAAATCCCTATATCTTTTCAAAGTTTACATACAGAATGATGACTTTTGTAAATGTGTATGTTATTACATGGTCTACTAAGTTGTATCCACTCTCAAACTTGTCTCTATATTAAATTTGAGGCATATGTGTTTGGTATGCTTAAAAGAAAGATAAGCATGTGTATAAGTAGCATGCTTCCATTTTTGTAAAAACTGACCATTTTCCCTTCCCCACGTATGTGTCTATACTTGTATATGTATGAGCTTGGAGAAAGTTGTGGAGGCTACATGTCAGGCTGCATGTTACTGTTGATTACCTTCAAGGGGTGGGGATAAGCAAGGAAAGAGTAGGGGAAAATTTTTGCAAAATGGAAAAATACGTATAATACTAAGTGAAAATAGAGACTATAAAATGTTACCCATATTATTGTAAATATGTAAACAAGGAACATGCATGTAGACGGGGAATAGGAAATAACATGAACAAATGAGAACATTGATTTTATCATGTGATGGGATTATGGAGAAGTTTTGTTTTGGATTTCTCTTATTTTAATATTTTATAATAAAATAATAACAAAAGGTTGATCCCTCTTAATTCCTTGATGAACTTTTAATCTTTTGTCTTTTCACTAAGCACAACAGTACATATTAAAAATATTTGCAGCTCACGTGTACAAAGTGTAAAGCATCTGCTTGAAGAATGCGTTGGCTCTGTATAGAGAGCATTTGAAGAGACCATTCTAATGTTGTTGATGATTCTGAATTATTTTCACAGTGCCCATCTTATAACTAGCAGAGGTTTCTGTAAATATAATACTTGATATTTATAAACATTTAAGTTCCAGTCATTATTTTAATTATTTTATGTGTAATATAGCCTCCAATCCTCATTAATTCCATTAACAGTAGTCACCATTACTGTCCCATTCTATAAATGAGGAAACTGAGGTACAGAGTTTTTTGTTTTTGTTTTTTTTTTTTTTTTGCTTAAGGTCATACTATAATAGGCTAAACCAGTATCAAATAGTACTTGAAAAATTATACTGTTTGATAAATAGTGTAGGTTAGGATTATTATAACATATAAGAGTTAATATGTTTATTAATTGGGCGCCTGGGTGGCTCAGTTGGTTAAGCGACTGCCTTCGGCTCAGGTCATGATCCTGGAGTCCCGGGATCGAGTCCCATATTGGGCTCCTTGCTCAGCAGGGGGTATGCTTCTCCCTCTGACCCTCCCCCCCCTCATGTGCTCTCTCTCATTCTCTCTCTCAAATAAATAAATAAAATCTTTTAAAAAAATGTTTATTAATTATATGTAATATATGTAACATAAAATGCATATAGGTAATATGTGTGATAATAGTCTAGTTCCTGAATTATCTGGAGTTTTTGGTGGTTAAAATTAATTATATTTAAGTTGATGTGTAAATTCTCAGGATGCATCGAAATACATTCTAGTTTGAGATAACCTTAAAACATATCTTCACAACTCACAGGTTTATTTTTAAGAAAGTATAC